GTGTGGTGCCCGAGACAGAGGGGGGTGGGCGCGGCTCATTTTGGGCATAGGGAATAAAGTTGCATGTTGCGGCAACGTTCCTCTTGATGCACTGGTCACACGGAGATTGGCGATTGCACTTGAGTCTTTGCACTGTGGTCAGCCAAGGCGTGAAAACAGTGTGGGATGGGCGGCCTTACTTTTTCTCTCGACAGGTGGTACACGAAAACCGGATGCGGTTCCTCTTTCTCTGCTGATCCGACCTCTCGTCTTCGCTGCCCCTGAAGGCCGTGGGAGGAGTGTCCATTGTGTCAGGACTGTTGTTCTCGATGCAGCTGGTGACGGCCTAGCATTTGATGTGCCGGAAGCCTCGAGTCGGAGCGAACAGTGGGAATATGTGCAAGTCGTGGAAAGACAGAGTTCGGGAGGTGATGTGTGCGCGCGCTAGAGGAGTAGGAGGAGACCGGACGGCCAGAGTTTTGCCAGGCAACAAGTGCAATCAATGGTCAACAGCCATTCACAGACTTCCCGATGCAGCGATTTCGTAGCATCGCCGCCAAGGCCCAACACTTTCCCAGGATCCCAAGTAGCGCCATGTCGCCCCGAGCATGTGCGTGGTTGGCTGGCGGTGGGCTGCCACCTATCTAGTTAGTAGTGTACATACTGTAGAGCGAAGGAGACCACGAGGCGACAGTCTACACTAACCTGAATGCAATGCTTTGGTGACAGTCAAGTACCGTATGAACTGAATCCATTCAACCACAACGCTGTGCCGGAACTGTGTCCGACGCGGCCCCGTTTTATCTATTCTGTCGGTAGAAGAATCGACGCCATGGCCCAGCCCAGCCTCAGCGTTGCGCTGCAGACCTGCGGTGCCTGTGCCTGTCCGCCTTTTTGCCCGCGTCACAGTGTCCCAAACATGTCCATGTCCACCAAGTAACACAAGCTGCTCTGGCGTGGGAGTCAATCCGATTCGACCGTGGAATTGCTTTCGCCTGTGGCGGCATTGGGGTGTCGCGCTTTGGGAACCGCTTAGCCGTGCTAGTACATCGATATGCCACGACTGGTGCCACGGAAGAGGAAAGAGATTCGTTGTTGTCGAAGGGGGAACCCGGCCAGGTGGATTGATTGAACGAGTGTCCAGTCCTGTCGAGTCCTGCTTGTCACTTCACTCACTTCTGGAGATGGATGTTTTGCGCCTGGATCGATGGAACGTTGCCATCGGTACCAGCAGACGTCCAAACCTCCATCCCAGAGGAGCTTAGTTGACCTGTTTGGGATGCAAAAAAATGGGCTGACAGCTGGTCACTGGAGCACAACCGGGCGTTTTGGACCGTTGGGAGCGGAAAAGAACCGCCCGAAACCCAGCAGTTCAACAAGAGGAAGATTCTAGTTCTAGGGTCCAACCCGACTTTGAGATAGAAATGACCCACGGCAGTTGCCTTTCTGACCCCCACCGCATGACAGTTCCGTTTTTCTGGACGGCTGAGGCACATCGTCCCTCGACGAAAAGACATGATTTCCACACCTTCAAAGATCAGAAAAGGACCTTCTGTAAATCTGGCCCGCCAAGATTGCTCGAGACCAACCACCACAAAGCGCGCTTCCGAAATAGTGGAGTAAGCTGGCCGCCAAGCCATTTAGTGTACTGGACCAACGAGAGCTGGAAAACCAACGAGGAACCTAATTGTTAGAGAGCGGGAATAAACCGGCTGAGATGGGGCATGGAAGTGACTTTCCAAAGGAATTACATAACCCATTCTGCATATATAGGTGAAGTGCCGGACAACACTCCGGAGCTCTACGGGTACTGTTGCATCGGACACACCCTAAGACGAGTACTGTTTGGTCCATGAATTTCTGCCAACAAATGGGATACATAAAGGGAGTGCAGTTGATAAGGCTTGCAAAGGCGGGGCTCCAGTCCTCGGGTGGTCTAGGCTCCACATCGTCGTTTGTGAGTGGAGCACTCTCGGTCCGAGTCCCGTGCGCCCTCTGCTCCGAATGTGGGGTAGACAGCTGTCCCGCCCCGCCGTCAAAACACAAAAGTACTCCGCCAGCCCACTGTGCTTTCTTTCTCCCGCCGGCACTGCAGTCCACAGTGTGTAGCCAGCCCAGCGCTTGAGGCTCGCCGACCACTGCAGGCAAGACTGACAAACCTGTGTAACACGAGAACCGCGAGTTACGACGATTTGCGGTGCAGAGGACGTCACGCCGCCCGGTCGGTCGGTGTCACCTGCAACTCGTCGCATTTCAGTGACCAAAGTCTGGACTCTTTGTCCTGTTCTCGGACCACGGCGATATTCCAGACTCCTTCCGATACCAGATCGAAATCCATTCAGTTGCAAGTTGAACAACAAACCCGTCGCCGGCGCATAAACCACCACCACCACTGGACCTCCGCCATGCCCTCCCTCCCCGACGCCAGCGGTGGCGGAAGCCGAAGCAGCCCGCTGCTCTGGCGCATCCTGAAAATCTTCCTTCGGCCCTTTCGCGGCCCCGTCGATCGTGCCCGTCGTGCCTTTCGCGCTGCCGCATACCCTATCCAAGGCATATACTACTTTTTGCGCCATCCCGAATTCTATCCCGTGTTCCTAGGCCGCCTACTCCCGCTGTCCATCATCTCGTTCCTGGTGTATCTGATCCTGTTTACCTTTGCCTTTATTCCCCAGCTGCTGTTCTTGATGATCTTCCAGGGAAAGGCCGGGGCTTGGTTCAATGCGATAGTGCTCGTGCTGGGAGAGGGCCATGTGGTGATCCAGGCTCTGTTTGAAGGCTTCTTTGTCGACGAGGCCCAAGTGGATATTTTTGACGTAGGTTAAATTGGGCTTTTCGATCTGCATGGTGGGAAAAAGCCTGCTAACGGTATGACTAACAGGCAACGCTAATAAACCACGGACTGACCGATCTCGTTGCGCCCCATCGTCTGCTTTTCCCGGATGCGCCCACGTCGGTCAAGATGTTGGGCAAGCCCACCACCAAGGCCGAGTTCCAACCCTTCAGCCTGAAACAAATCATCGAGCTGATCGTCTTTCTCCCGCTCAACCTGATACCGTACGGTGGCACGGTTGCCTTTCTCATGATTACCGGTTCTCGGTACGGGAAGCTGTCGCACCACAGATGGTTCCAGCTGCGAGGGTTGAGCAAGCAGGAGATGAAGCGGGAACGCAGCTACTGGTCGTGGGAGTACACGTGGTTTGGAACCGTAGCGATGGTCCTTCAGCTGATACCCGTGCTGAGCTTCTTCTTCCTCTTGACTACCAGCGCTGGAGCTGCCTTGTGGGTAGCAGAACTGGAGCAGAGGTCGCGGGTCAGAGTTGGACGGCCCGTCACTGCCAGCGACCAGGCGACTCGAAACCAGCCAGACGAGCCTGTCTACCATGACGGTATTTACCATGACGATCCGGTATAGATTATGGACTGGCACAAGTAACAGACGTATTGCTTTATGCATGTTTTATTCCCCGGGCCAGCGAATGCCTCGTTGTGCTTTTGGGTACCCAAAGTCCATCACGAAAAGGCCACTCTAGTCTTGTCATTCTTTGTTACAACTACATTGTGTACTCTTTTTCTACTGTCCGACCTAACATAGGTTTCCCACTCACTGCTGTCTTGCAATTTACTTCTACTGAAGGTGTCACCTCCATTCTGTTCAACAAATCGCTATCACACCAACCTTGACACACCAAGAAGAAAGGAAAGAATATATACTACTCGCCAGTGCATTGCCACGCACAGAACCAACCCGTTTACTCACACGTACCTCGGTGATTGAAACAACATTCAGTCGTCTCCTTTAGTTATGAACGGCCTTTCCCTCCGAGATAACGCAGCTGGCGTAGAGTTGCCGCAAATCGCTTACGTATCTCTATTTGATTTAGAGCAGAACTGCGGAAGTGATGGATGGGCTTCACATATGATGCTGCGTGAACCTTTCCGATATTTCTCAAAGAAGCACGGCGACAAACAAACAGTTCGGTTGCTTGAGTAGCAGGAAACTGCCAAGGAGAACAAATTTGCCAGGGATTATTGGGGCAACTGAATGTTGTGACGGAACTTTGAGTTTGGTCAGCGGAAGGAGGGACGACTGGAGGAAGGAACACAAGGTCACTCATCTCAGCTCCGTCCATCGCAGAGGGTAGAGGTACCTGCAGTCATCCATGCGAGCGCTTCTTACCAGGGACATCGATCTTGCAACTCAGTCCCGTCTCCGTGGAAGCCTGCCCGCCAGCCAACTCCGAAACTTCACCTTGGTTCGGTTGGGGACGACTCCCAATGGGAAGTGCGGCCTCCTTTCACTCCTGCCGCGATTCGAGGTCGACGAGGATGACTTCGTTGCTACTCCACCGCAGTCAATGTGTCCAATCTCAATCCGTCGGTCCTCGATGATGTTGGTCATCACAAAAAGTTTGCAAGCGGGAAGGAGCGATATGTTGAGGAAAGGATACAGAAGTTTGGGTGGATTTTCTCAGTCCCAAATCTCGATGGCCAAGTTCTCTTACAGACAGAGATGGCAGTTGAGGAAGGAACGTCTTTCTTGATGATCTCACATGGACCAGTCCCCTCATTGAAGTCCCCTGAGCTCCTTCCATGACAATCAAGCACATCATGTTTCTCATTTCCGCTGCGGTCGAGAGTGGCTTTTCATGCCATCAAGTCCTTCCCCCTTCGTCGACTTTCGCACGATTGATGTCCACATGCTTGCCTCCTCTATTTTGTCCACGATGCGCAATCTTCCACTTCCACCACAACACCTTCCTCCCCAATGTTATGATCATTGAACGCAAAGGAAGTCGACATGCTGCTCGTCCCTGACCTCTCGTCATCTGCTTGAAGGGTGGGAGACGAGGATGGCTCTTCAGATGGCCTACATAAGACCGCCGTCCTGCTCCTCTTGTCGTTCTCTCGATTCATCCTCCTCATCCTTCTCCTCTCAACTCAATCTCTCTTCACCTTGTTGATCCCGGCATCATCAGATTTCCCGCCTACTTTCTTGCCTTTTGGCGTTTTCTCTTCTGGCATCACGCTCATTATCACCTACTGTGTCCAAATCGTTATCTTCTCTTCTTCACCTTGAGAGGCAAGATCACCACTTCGGCATCCAGTCGCTGACACCAAGATGCGTCTCAACGCGTCTCTGGGCGTGCTCTCGGGCATAGCCTGGACAACATCCGGTGCTGTTGTCCCTCGCAAGTGAGTCCTTTCCCATCCCTTCTCCATCCGATGCCATTGTCTCTTTTCTTGTCTGCTGACTTGTCCTTTCCACAGCCTCGATTACGACATCGACACGACTTGCACAAGCACCGAGACAGACCAAGGCACTGTCTTCGTCACTGTCCCCGGCGGCAACTCTCCGACTGCTGCTGCCCCAGCTGGTTCGGTCTTCACTCTCACGGTTCCTGTTGGCGGTTCTGATCCTGGTGCCGGGTCTCCCGGGTCATTCGGTTCACCTTCTGGTTCTGGCAACAATGGTCTTCTTTCTTCCACCTGCACCACTGAGTCTTCCCCCTTCGGTTCTCCCTTCGGCTCTGCTGACACTCTTGAACCTGTCACCATCACCATCACAGCTCTCTCTACTCCCATGAGCACGGTCACCATCCCGGTATCAACCATCACAATCAACACACCTGGCGCTGGTTCTGGTGCTAGCAATAACGGCAACGGTAACTCCCCTGGTTCAATTGTCACAGTCACTGCCCCCCAAGCATCTCCCAGCCCAGCTTTTCCAGGCTCTGGTTCTGATATCACAATCACCATTCCCGGCGGCTCGGGCTCCGGTTCCTCTCCAGCAGGAGTGACTGTGACTGTTCCTCAAATATCTGGGCAGGCCGGTGAAGTTGTCACTCTCACAATACCGGAAGGCCCCAGCCAGTCGGCCACTGTTGTGCTCACTGTCACCATTCCTGACGTTGCAGACAGTCCTGGGTCATGGTCTACCATCGTTTCAGCTCCTGGCCTGAATGGCGCGACATCTGGTCCGCTTGTCACTGTCATCGGCGGTACATCGGCTGGTCCACAAGTGCCAACCAACTTGCCAGTGCCTGGAGGTCTCCTTTCCTCGACATGCTCCGATGCGCTCACACCTGGGGCTGGCGGCTCCGGCAACCCTGGTTCCGGCAATACCCTCACCGTTCCTTTGCCTCAGCTCACCACGATTCAGGGAGGCAAGGAGTCCTACCCACCATTCTTCGGCGGTCCGAATCCTCTGACAATCACTTACACGATTCCTGCCGAGCCTGGAATGCCCACTCCTCTTGTCGAGACTCTCACTGTGACACCCAACCTCCCCTACCCACCTGGCGACCCGGGCTCCTCATACGGACCGACTGATCTGACTATCCCACTTGGTCCTTTTGGCGTTCACAGCACTGTGTCCGCTGGGGATTCATCAGGTCTCACATTGGTCACATACACCGTCCCTGCTGATGGCAACTCGCCTGGCTACACCGGCGTCTTCACTTTGACACCTGGTGCCGGCTCGTCTCCCGACCAAGGCGGTCAGAATGGCGGATCGCCCGTCACTGTCACTGTTCCCGAGGCCACTCAGCCCGGTCAGAATGGCGGATCGTCAGGCGAAACTGGCTACCCTCCTTATGGCGGCTCTGCTGCTCCTGCGGGCAATGGATCACCCGACACTGTCACTTTGACTGTTCCCCAAGCTGGCGCTCCCACTCAGTCTTTTCCTGGCCAAGGTTCTGGTCAGTCTGGCTTCGGCTCCGGCAACCAAGCTCCCACAGTCACGCTTACGGTTCCTGCCAGCAGCACTCCGGGTTCAGGCTTGGGTGGCCAAGGCAGCGGTCCTGGGTATGGCAACGGCCAGTCGACTTGCTTGACGCTGACAATTCCTGGAGCAAACTCTGATGGTCAGTCTAGCCTTTTGACTGTCACTGTTCCAGCTGGTTCTGGTTTCCCCGTTGGCGGTGCTCCTTCTGTGCCTTACAATGGCCCCTCGGATCCGGTCACCGTTACAGCTTTCCCCTTTCCAGGCGCCTCTGTCCTCCCTGGCAGCAGCCCGTCTGGCTCAGGCGACGAGGGTCAGTCAACCTGCCTGACTCTTACGCTTACTGGAGCCAACGGCCAGCCGAGTCTTGCCACTGTTACTGTTCCAGTTGCCTCAGCGTTCCCTAATGGTGGTGCTCCATCGGCACCCTATAATGGCCCTTCGGGTCCGGTTACCGTCACAGTTCCACCGACTCCCGGAAGCGGCTCCTCTGGTTCAGGCGATGATGATCAGTCGACTTGCTTGACCCTCACACTTACCGGAGCTAATGGCCAGCCCAGCCTTGTCACTTTCACGGTTCTCGCTTCAGACTATCCCTCTGGCGCTTCTCCTTCTGCTGTCAACACCAATGGCCCGTCCGGTGTTGTCACTGTTGTCGTTCCCGAGACCACCGATTCCAGCGGTTCCTTCCCCGGAAGCGGCTCGTACGGCTCGGGTGGCAATGGCCCATCAGCTGTCTTGACCGTCACTGTTCCTGACAACTCCGGTTCCGGGTCTGGTCCGTCTGCAAGCGATCCTTACGGCTATGGCGGCGGAAATGACCAGCCTGGCGTGATTACCGTCACGGAACCTGCTGGTTCTCCATCTGCTGCCTCTGGGTCTCCCATCGTTGTCACTTACACCGTTCCCGCTGGACCAGGCGAGACCGAGTCTTCCTATGCCGTCACTTACACCCTCCAGCCATCATCGGGATCTGGCTCATCACCTTCGGTCAGCGGTGGTCCTGCAGGGTATGGAAACGGTGGTAGCAACCCATTCGGATCTGGTTCCAACCCCACTGGTTCCTCTAGTGGGCTTTCTCCCATCACGATCACCCTCGGGCCGTCTGATGGGTTCGCTACACCCGTGGTTGTCACATACACTCCTGGTGTGACGGGACAACCGTCTAGTCCTTCGCCCACACCTTCTGAGATTGTCGTTTCAGAGTCGGGAACTCTCTTTACCATCACGCTTCCTGGATCTGGGTCCTTGCCTTTCACAACCTCGCCTGCCTCATCGGAGATTGTCATTTCTGAGTTTGGGACTTTGTTCACCATCACCGTTCCTGCAACAGCTCCGGCCGCTCAGCCCACTGTTGCCAGCGGTTCTGTCAATGTTCCCGGATACGGCTCTGGTGCCGGGTCTGGTGCTGGTTCTCTTCCCAGTGGCCTCACGGTCTTCACCATCACTCCCACTTCTGGTTCACCGTATGTTGTCACCATTCCTGTTGGCGGCGGCTCCGGCTCCAGCCCTTCCAATGTTTTGACTGTCACTGAGGGTCCGTCCCCCACTGGCTATGGAACAGGGTCTGGATCTGGAAGCTCCCCTAACAATGGCGAGTTCACTATCACCATTGACGGCACACCGGTCGTTGTTCCTCTTCCTCAGAGCAACCCAGGCGGCAACCCCGCCACTGGCTCCGGCGTCGTGACTGTCACCGAGGGAGGCAATGGCTTGGCCACTCCTGCAGCTGGCACAGTGTTTACTCTCACGCTCTCTGGTACACCTGTCGCCGTCACCGTTCCTGCCAGCGGCAACACGGCTCCTGTCGGTCAGGGAGGCATCCTGACTGTGACTGAGGGATTGCCTTCTGGTTCACCATCCATCGTCACCGTTCCGGCCGGTGCTGGAGGCGTCACGGCTCAGCCTTCTGCGACTCCATATGGCGGCTCTTTTCCCGGTGGAGAAGTCATCACTGTGATTGGACCTGATGGACATCCTACTGTTCTTACGATTCCTGGCGGCGGCAACCCAGCAGCCACTCAAAATGGCCCATCCAATGTCTTGACTATCACTGAGGGTGGTGCTGCTCCTACCGGAAGTGTCCAACCTGGTGGGAATGGTGTCGGCACTGCATTCACCGTCACTTTGTCGTCGCCTGGCAATGGGCAAGGCAGTGGACCCCAAGGCTCCGGACAGGGCAATGGTCCTCAGGGTTATGGCTCACCCAACTCCGGTCTTGGTCCCGTCTTGACCATTACTGAGTTGCCTTCCGGGGTTGCCGGTGGTCTACAACCCGGTGCAACTGGATTTGCCACTGCCCTCACCTTCACCATTCCATCGGGCTCTGGCATCGGACCCTCTGGTTCGAACAATGGTCCCTTCGGCTCCGGGAACGGGCCTCTTGGTTATGGCAGTGGGCCCGTTGGTTCCGGCAATGGCCCTCAAGGCTACGGTTCACCCAACTCCGGTCTTGGTCCTGTCTTGACCATCACTGAATTGCCTTCCGGGGCTGCCGGTGGTCTACAACCCGGTGCAACTGGCTTTGCCACTGCCCTCACCTTCACCATTCCATCGGGCTCTGGCAACGGACCCTCTGGTTCGAATAACGGTCCCTTCGGTTCTGGCAATGGCCCTCAAGGCTACGGTTCACCTAACGCTGGTGCCGGTTCCATTTTCACCATTACTCAGGGAGGAGCTGGCGCTGCTCAGTCTACTGGTCCTATCTTGACCGTGTCGGAGGTTGTCCTATCGGAAACCATTCCTATTGGCTCTGGTCTTTACTCGGTCGTTGCATTCACCACTACTCTCGGCTCTGGTTCTGGCTCTGGTCCTGGCTCTGGCCCAAGCATTGTCACCATCGATCCCAACGGTTCCGGTAACGGTCTCAACTCTCCCTCTGCAATTGGCGGTGGTGCTTTTGCGACCACTTTGACTTTGGCACGTCCCTCCGCTGTGATTGCGACGGCACCTGCTCTGGGTCCTCAAGTCGTCACTGTTCTGCCTTCGATCTTCACTGTCTGGCCTCAGAACACACTGGTCACCACCACCTCGTGTACCACCAGCAATGGCGGCGCCTTCTTTGACCCCGGTCAGAACGGCGGCATTGGTCCCTCTGTCGTTACCATGTGGCCGACGTACTCCATTGACACCACTTGTACCAAGTCCTCGACCAGCTATATCTCCGCCAGCGCTGTTGCGCCAGCCCCGTCCTCCGAGTCATCCACTGTATTGATGTTAAGCAGCTCAACCTTGGCTGTCATTAGCTCAGCGCCTTCTCTACCATCACCCAGTGACTCATCTACCGTCCTGATGCTGAGCAGTTCCACCCTTGCTGTGATCAGTTCAGAGCCCGCAACTCCCTCAGCCGTTGCTCCAGAGCCCGTTAGCACTGCATCCGGGGAACAGGCCATCCCAACACTGACAACTGAGCCTCCCAGCTCTTCTAACGAGGGCCAAGCCATTCCCACTCTGACTGCCGAGCCTGCTGAACCTACCAGCGCTGCCGGTGGTGGCCAGCCTATCGAGCCTTCTGAACCTACCAGCGCTGCCGGTGGTGGCCAGCCTATCGAGCCTTCTGAACCTACCAGCGCTGCCGGTGGTGGCCAGCCTATCGAGCCTACCGACTCATCCGGCGGTGGCCAGAGCATTCCCGTTGTGACTCCCGAGCCCTCCACTTCGTCAGATGAGCAGGCGATTCCCACATTGTCATTCGAGGTCCCGCCGGAGTCCTCTGCTGGTGAAGAGGTTCCTCCTCCCCAGACCGAGTTTGGCCTTGGCCATATTCACCCCCGTGCTGCGCATATTACCGTTATTCCCACCCCTTCCTCGGTTGCCCCTGACTCGGTTTCTACGGCGTCTGTTGCATGCGGCTCACTTGGTGATCGTGGTGGTTACACCTTCAGGGTGAGTTTCTCCTTGGCCCCTTTTCTGCAGTTCAAGATCACTGACGTTTGCTCCAGTTTGATGACATTCCCGCTCCCGAGACACTGAACAGCGACACCAACAGTGCCATGGTTGTGCGCCATCAGCTCGTTCCTCGTCCGTATCACCGCTTCTTGTTCTCGGATGACTTCCGTGTCGTGCCTCCGCCTCAGTCGCGCTTTGTCCCGTCCTCTGGGTCCCAGATGGTTCAATACGATGGCGCATCCAAGAACGTTGCACAAATCGGCCTCGCCCAGCTTCGCAACAACCCTTGCTTCCGCTTCGACTTCCTCGGTGTCAGCCTTGGTTGCAACTCGACTGTTGAGCCATGCGTCTTCAACGTCAAGGGCATCCAGTGGAACGGTGTTCACGATGTGATCCAGGCGAACAAGACTTTTGTGGTTGGCGCTTGCAAGAACATTGACAGCTGTGTTCTCCGCCATCAGATCCTGGATTCTGCTACTGCACTGCAATTCACCAACTTGACTGCAGTCAACATCACGTTGACGGTTGCCGGCAAGCCCGTGACCTGGTGGGCTGATGACTTCCAGGTCGCCTGGACGGAGAATGACTGCACCACTGCCGCATGCCGGGCACTTGTGCCAAACACCGCCTCTACTCCTCAAAAGCCTTGGGGTGTTTCTGAAGAGGTGAAGGCCAAGGGTCTTCGTTGGTCTATTCGTCGCTGAAGGGCTGAGATGTTTGTTTTATGACAAGTCGCTTGACTTTGATTCTGAGCGGTTCTCTCACTCTTTTTCTCATTTGTCCCGCTTGGGAATTGTGTTAATATTTCGAATACCATTTGCATGTTTTTACGGCTTGTCGTTCCGTCCTTGGGATGAGGTGACAGTCGTGGGATTTCTTGGTGAATTGGTGATCAGATAGAATTGTGTTTACAAAAAGGGGTGATCTTCACAACGACGGCATGTAATGAGAGGTGGAAGAGTCGAGTCGATGATGAGTCGGATCTTCAAACTAATAGGGGAGCAATTCGTCACTCTCTGTACAATTTTGGCCATATTCTCATTGACAGCTATAATTCCAACTTGTTGTCGTGGGAAATCTTTGCCGCTGTGTTTTATGTCGTTACTCGCAGTGATTGCATGTCATGACGCATTCCAGGGTCTCATCATGGAATGTTTATCACGGCAAACGAGATCAACTAGCTCCTTATCGAAGTATTGATCATGCTTGCGTCAATCGCCTAGCAGCTCAACCTTGGACAGTTACAATCAATTTCCGCCATCCTTTAAAGTCCAAGTCCGTGTTTCATCATCGGCCTCGCCGAGAAACAGCGTGGATCATGCACAGGTGTGTTTAAATTGTATCCATCTTTCTTCCTTATCCTTTATGCAAGAACATCCCTCTACCTGTCTTCAATCAACCATCTTGCCCAGAGACTTGATCTCAATATGTCAACTCACGCGATTGAACGAAAGCCTGTTCCCTTGTCCTCGAGTGAGGTCCCTCCTCCACCACCAAAATCCGAGAAACGAGTTCATTTCGCAGCATGGACTGAGTCCGAAGGAGGACCTTCGGCCATTCCTCCCACGATACCTCCAGTAAGCATCATCAGCTCGCCCCGTTTACCATCTCCGGCCCCGCTTCAAAGACCACCAACTCCAACCGAGTACTTTGACATGCCATATCCACCAAATACATTCGACCCCGAGAGTGACATGCTTCCCTTTAATATCCCCAGCACGCCCGTCAGGCCTCGACCTGAGTCCAACCTTACTTTCCGCACCGCACCATCAGAAATAGACGCCGAAACCCGAGCACGGAACAACCATATGTTTGCAGCGGCCACCAACCTCTCCAACGGTCTCACCCAACTCGAAGTCCGGCTAGGTGGCGTCGACCTTATCCCCGGTCTTCGCCAACAAGCATCCATTTCGCGTGTTGAATGCCAAGCCTTCTACAATTTCCTCTCCCCAGCCGACAAGGAACAGTTTTTCATCCAACAGATACCCATCTTTGCTGCTCGAGTACATGCCCTAGTTTCAAGAACGGAGGAGTGTAACTTGAGGGTACCGTGCGTACAGGTACTTGATACTAGAATTGGTGTAGGCGGTGGGAAAGACGGGAAGGAGATGGTTAGATGGGAACGAGGGGAAAGGGATGGACCGCCGAGTTGGAGGGATATGGCACTGGGAGCGGGGATTCTGGGGTGGGTGAGGAGGCGGAGGGGTGTTTATGCTCGTCCTGGGGGGGAGGGGAGGAGGGCAATGGAGGATGGGGTTGGTGGAAGAGTTAGGAGTGAGCAGGTGGCGCTTTGGGAGGATCTACCGGGGGGGTTGAAGGGGGTGGTGGAGAGGCCTGAGGGCTCGTCGAGTGAGTATGGAGAGGGGGATGGGGATGGGGAAACAGGGGGGAAGGTTAATGGGGACGGGAGACGAAACGGAATTGGGAGCAAGATCAAGAAGCCAGGGTTCTTGACGTTGTGGCATGAGATGTTGAGACGGGATGATGTGGTTCTGAGGAAGAAGGAGGAGTTGGTGAAAATGATGAGGGAGGGGAGGGAGAGAATGGAGAGGGGGGAGTGAGATGGTGTGGGGAGAGAGATGCGGGACCTAATGGCAGTGGTGGACCTGGAGGGTGGTTGACGAGATTGAGAGGGCGGTAGATGTTGTCTTGGGGTGCGGAAATACATTATTCTCGAGGAGAAGCTGAGAAGTTGTGTCTCAGGGAAATATGGCTTACAGGTTGAGAGTCTGCGCAGACGACGGGAGAAAGAATGCTATTGTCTCTCTTGGTGTGAATGAGGCATGTGATGATTTGTCTATACTCTTTGTACGATGAATAGGATAAATGGGTCAAGAAACAAAGGCTGTTTGTTTGGATGTTCTATTTCAGGGACGGCAACGGGATGTATTGCGAACAATGAAGGTTCTGCTCCAGAATAACGTGTGTGCTTTGCTGTATTAACTGAACCGTCGCAAAAGTCAAAAGCAATGACCCCTCCTCTGTTTTCCTTCCTGCATCCTTGGTTTTGAACTTGTTATTTTTTTCTGTAAAGAGGAGTGCTCATTGAAAACCGGATTGTTGACTACCGACCAAGATGTCCCGCCGATACCCCGACAAGAAGTACTACGACAACGACCGCGGTCTACCACCAAGACCGCCACGTTCACAAAGAGATCAACGGGACGACGATAACCGTAGGGAACGTGATTACCCGCCAGCGAGAAATTACCCGAATTCAAACTACAGCTCATCGTCGAGAAACCCACCAGACCGACGCAACCCTCCACCGAGATCAGACTATGGCGGATCGAGAAATGACCGTCAGAGATCCAGATCACCACCGCCCTACCCGCGACGAAGTAACCAGATCATCAACAATCACCAGCCAGGCGGCTTAAGGTCTGGTCGGTTATCCCCACCACCGAGAGAAAGACAAAACGACAGGTCCACATCTGGCAGGAACTCCCCGGCTCGAAGTACGAGCAGTGGAAATCGGACTCCTGCACCGGCAAGAACAGCGCAGCCTTCTCGAGCGCCTTCTCACGGTCCATCTAGGGCTCCGTCCCCAGCTCGAGCTCCGCCCTCTCCCAGTAGAGCTCTAGCACCAGCGTCAGCTACCAAACCCAAAGGATTTTCAGCTCCAAAGACCAAGAATCCCCGAAACACATTTCATTTTCTTGAGCTCTCCCTCGTCCAAGACGCCATCATCCACGATTCGCACATCCTACAAGATCTCGGACAGTGTATAGATGAATGTGAGCAAAAAGATCCCAATACGCCATGGGAGCAGCAGGAAAGGGGGAAGGAGTTCCTCAAGTGGTTTGAGGAGTATAGAAGTTCGGTGACGACGTTGAGGCCGGTTGTTCCGGGGGTGAGTTTTGGGAATCAGGTGGTGAGTATATTTTACGTTGTAGTATTTTAATGAGAGACTGTGAGACATGGGTGAGAGAGAGATGGTGGTGTGATCATGGATGGGGTAAAATGGCGGAAGAGAAGTAATTGGAGGGAGACGGAGGAGAAGAAAATGAGGGAAAAGAGAGGAAATAGGGAAAAGAGAGGAAATAGCAAGGAAGAACTGGGAGACGAAAAGAAAAGTGGAAGAAGAATAAAAGCTAACGAGCAAACCAAAACCACAGATGCGCGACCACGCCCTACTAACAATGAAAGACATGATCAAGAAGAAGTTAACGAGGAGGAAGTTGTTTACCGAGCTGTATCCACCACCATCAACGGAGGATGAGAAGAAGGATACCAGCGATATCAAAAACAACAATCCAAATCCAGAACCCAAACCCACCATCGACGTCTCCACAGACGTCATCTGCCTCCTCCGCCCACCCCCCTTCTCCAAACGCTCGCAGTACATCACCTTTGCCCCTTACCACCTTTCCTCCTCTCCCACTCAACCATCCCCCTCCAACATACTAATCACCACCTCCCCAGCCCTAACCAACCTATCAGGCTCCCACCCCTTTTCCCTCTCCTCCGCCTTACCAGTTCTCCAAGGCCTCAAGCGCGTCGCCTTCCTCTGGGACTCCGCCTCCCCTCCTAACGGGCCCGGTCCATTACCCGCCGACTTGGCATTCTTGTTTCCAGATAACTTACCCAGCCTAGAAACGATCTATATCCTCCATCCGGAGATTCGTCCAAGAAGCGAATGGTTCTGGGTGAGTCCTGAGTGTGATACGTTTATGGGAGGGGAGGGACAAGGGAGTGAGGCGTTGTTTGTAGAGGTGAGGGAGGGGGATGTTGAGGGGACTGGGACGGGGATGGGAACTACGGGGAACATAAAGGGAGGAAGTATGTGGGAGGTTTTGGGGGAGGAAAACGATGGGGGTGGGAAAAGGGATGTGTGGGGGAGGGGAGGAGGGGAGGAGGTCAAGGTTAGTGAGGGGGTAAGGGATGCGTTGAGGGAGGTTAAGGCTTTGGAGGGGTTGTATAACGCTGAGGGCGCAAAGGGGAAAAGGAATGTGAAGGTGAAGTTGATGGGTTGTATTCCTATTCGGACTTGAGAGAGGGGGTGGTGATGGGAGGAAAATGGGATGGAGAATGGGTTGGATGAGACAGGTGAGAAGGCGCAGGTGGAATTTAAGCCCTGGACCTGGAAGGAAGACGAAGTAGGTCCGCTGGTAAGGCAAAGTGACACCTATAATATAGATGATTGAACATAAATAAACGCTGTGATTTTCGTAGCATACCTGTATCTACCGAGAATTAAGGACACCTGGAGGGTATGGCTGCCAATGCCGACCGAGTATCACCAACAGCCAAAGGGGGTGTAAGCCATGCATTTTCCTGAATGTAAACAAATTGGGAACGTAAATGATTAATGCTGAGAATTACCCCACGCTGGTTGTCCATGAATCTGGGGATTGGGGTGTCCGGTCATGGAGACTCAAGGCTGTCACTGTGACGGTGACTTGACCACGTCCATTCTCGGTACCATCCAATGTTCTTGGATGAGAAAAGAGGAAGCTGGTCATGGCGTTAAATGAATATTGAACATAGGCGGACGATGATTATATGAAGTTGTTCTCAGTAAGTTGACAGAACAAGTGACTACCGTCGCCGACCTATACTCATTTGGCCAACTTGGGGGGTGGAGGCCCAAAGTCAAGTTGAAGGGAAGAAATACATAGTGGTCACGTTTAAGACGGAGAACGCGACAGGTAACGATTTCAGATTTGCGAGATCCGGAAAGTTGTTGATCATGGCCTCAAAGCGTTCAATCGTCCAAACGCCGGAGCCAAACAATATTCGCGAGGTGCGGGGAATCGATCGGTAAAATGGTCCAGGGAAAGGTAAAATCGCTTTTGGAGAGCTGGTGATGGACGGGATTCGTCAATGGCTGATGCCGATTCACGAATGGAGATGAGTGTTGAAGAGGCGAAAAGGAAGACGAAGAAAGTTGAGAATTGGGTGGCTTGACAAGGCCCAGTTGCCTAGCTTCAGCCATGACTTCAATTTCGCATTTTTGCAACTTGAACAACAATACCTAACCATGGCCATCACCAACAAGAGCAAAAGTCTCCAGCATCCTGGTAAAGGACCTCAACCATATCTCATCTTCTCATTTGATGGCCTCTCACAGTGACGACTCACGGCGCCTGAAAGTTGCGACTTCGCGCCTGGGAACCGCTAACAGATTTCGGATAAGGACCGCGAGAGGCATATCAGACCCTTGGGCGATTGGAGCGCTTCTCTCGAGGTTCGGTCGGTGTGATCATTCGGCTACCTGATTCCGATTTGCGGCCAGCTCTTCTTGCTTACCTATTCAGATCCGCATAACGACACTCATTTGAGACAACTCCATTAACCTCAAACTGCTGACTTCTCCATACCTTCAAAAACTTGACAGCCTCAGGGTCTGGACCGGAACATGCGGGGAAATGGCAGGGACCAAGATCCAAGCTCGCCAAGATGAACCATCGGCTCCGAGTGACCGAGTTACCGAAAATGGCATCCAACATCGACGGAACAAGGCTCGCCGGCAACGGAACTAAGCCCACCGTCGTGACGTCCTGGACAATGGCCCGTACTTCCGAATTTTGCTACGACCATCACCGGATATAAGCACGATTCTCTCGTAATAAACGTCTTCCAAAATCTTGGAAATCCCCTTATGTACCCGCATGTCGGGGTGTCACTCCGTCTCAAGACACCATCCACCGCCAAAATCTCCCTTGAATCATGCCCCGATCCCTGATCAACACAAGTTCAAGACCTCGACTTCGGTTCTTTCTTCCGCTCAAACGTGGCGAAATCCAAGGAGAGACGGCAATGCCGGTCTGGAGGTTGTATTCGGTGTTCTCAACCCGTCATTCCCAAGGCCCTGTATCTCCCGACAGACTTCACACAATTCATCGGTCGTGATATATATCATCAATCATCCACCATGGCATCCATATACTTCACCACCCGACTGCATCCATTCCATCGGTGTCATCTAAGCGTCATTACCTAGGCCTTTAGACAGACGCCCAAGATGGTTCACAAGCTCGCCTTTTTGACCGGCCTAACCGCCTCCCTCGTCTCCGCCCAACAAATCGGCACCCTCACCCCCGAATCCCACCCCAAACTGCCCACCAAGCGCTGCACCCTCTCCGGCGGGTGCCAAACCGTCTCAACCTCCATCGTCCTCGACGCCTTTCAACGTCCTCTGCACAAGATCGGTGACCCATCGACCGCTTGCGTCGTAGGCGGTCCTCTCTGCCCCGACGCCGCCACCTGCGCAGCCAACTGCGCTCTCGAAGGCGTCGACTATGCTTCTTTGGGAGTCAAGACCGACGGAGACGCCCTGACGCTGAACCAGTGGGTGTCTGACCCGTCGAACCCAGGACAATACAAGACAAGCTCGCCGCGTACTTATCTCGTGGCTGAGGACGGCAAGAACTATGAAGCTGTCAAGTTGCTGGGGAAGGAGATTTCCTTCGATGTGGACGTTAGTAACTTGCCTTGTGGCATGAACGGGGCGTTTTACTTGAGCGAGATGTTGATGGATGGTGGACGGGGGGAACTCAATGCTGCAGGAGCGGAGTATGGCACGGGGTATTGCGATGCGCAGTGTCCCAAGTTGGATTTTATCAATGGCGAGGTTTGTCTCCAATACTGTCTTCCGTTCCTTCTACTTGTACCTGCGTGGCTAAGTGCTAACGCGGTTCCATTCCAGGCAAACATCAACAAAACCCACGGCGCGTGCTGCAACGAAATGGACATCTTCGAAGCCAACGCCCGCGCAAAGTCCTTCACCCCGCACCCCTGCTCCATTGAGCGCGTCTACAAGTGCACGGGAGACACCGAGTGCGGCCAGTCCCAGGGCGTCTGCGACCAGTGGGGATGCACTTACAACGAATACCAGAAGGGAGTCCACGATTTCTACGGCCTTGCTCCTCCTGCCAAAACCATCGACACCACCCAGAAATTCACCGTCACCACACAATTCCTGACTGACAATGGCCGCGAAGACGGCGTGTTGGTGGAGATCCGCCGATTGTGGTATCAGAATGGAAAACTGATCAAGAACGCGGCAATCACCGTAGACGGGAAATCGACGGATTCAGTTAGTACGCAGTTCTGCGAAAAGACTTCTTCGTGGACGATGCAGCGCGGGGGACTCAAGACCATGGGCGAGGCGATGGGAAGGGGCATGGTGCTGATCTTTAGTATCTGGGCGGATGAGAGCGGTTTCATGAATTGGTTGGATGCCGAGGACAGTGGACCGTGTAGTGCGACCGAGGGCGATCCGAAGCTGATTTTGCAGAAGAAGCCGGATGCGCGGGTGACATTTTCGAATATCAAGTGGGGAGAGATGGGTAGCACGTATGCTTCTGCGGGGAAGTATGGTGTTAGACGGGTTGCGAAGGGGTTGAGTGCTTGAACTGAAAGAAAACTTGGTGGGTGGTGTGGTTGTTGTTTGTTGTGTAAAAGGATGTATATAAGGTTTCTTGGATACAAATCGCATTGGAGAAGAAGCTTCTGTTCGTGGGCATAAAATTAGTAGCAATTTCAAAAAGATGTCTCCGGGATCAGAACTCTAAATAGACACTCGATTACATTGCGCGGATGTAAGTTTTTGACGACAGAAGGAGCGGGACTGAAGCAAAGTTTGTTGGGGGAGGATTTCAGAGGGGGGAAGCTAACAAGGTTGGAGATTGTCTGGTCGAGCAATCTGTGAGTGTCATGAAGCATTGTGCGATAAAAATATCCACTTCCTGAGCAATGACCTCTCAATGTCTTCGGTATTGCTACTCAGCTGCCGCGACCAATTCCCCGACAAAATCCCATCTCCCGAAATTCTCAGCATCATTCTTGGTCCGTTTCTTCCCATTGTCCAATTGCCGAGCTTCACTCGACCAAAAGCCTAAACCACACTCAACCCCATCCATCCCACCCCTTTCTTTTTCCCCCAGTGCCTCACCGCCTATAATGCCCCGTAAAATCATACCTAACCCCCATCATCCCCAACAACACCTTTCCCACCCCCTTTTCATCCCCCTTCACCTCCTTCAACGCCCCCAAAAACTCATCCTTTTCCAACTCAAGCTGCCCACTCACCCTCCTAAAGTTCTCCTGACTCACCGGGTCAATAATCGTCTTCCACTTCTCCATCCTCTTCTCACTATACAGCTCCAACATGTCCTCCTCATCCGCCTTGTCATCCCAGATCCCCGCCAGACAATCATACAGCCCGCCTACATCCACAAAACCGCCTGTGATACCCAGGCCGCCCCAGGGGTTGCACAGGTGGGCGGCGTCTGCTACTAGTAGCACACGGCCGACGCGGAAGGAGGGCGCGCAGCGCTGGTGCATTCTGTACGGAGAGAGAGTGAGGAGTTGGTATTGGTCCGGGGTGGGCGAGCCGGGGAGGATGGATTGGAATTTGAAGGGTTGGCGGGCGAGGTATTGGGCGTGGGTGAGGTTGGGGACTTCGGCGTAGGTGATGCGGTAGAGGGCGGGGTGGGAGGGGGTGGAGGGGGAGATGCGGGCTGCCATCTGTTGTTTATTTCCAGAGGTGGAAGAGGTTAGTGATGGGGGGGAAGACGCACGAAAAAGTTATCGGGGTCGATGATGAAGTTGGCGTCGGACCAGCCGAATTTGTCAAAGTCGTAGTATGTCTGTTCACGTCCGTCAGCCACATGCATTTCCATGTCGAACTGTATGCACTCCTTCCATCTATTCTTTCTGAGAAACGGGTTTGAAACTCACATTCGTAGCAATAATCGTCCGATCCCACGTAAACCCCGGGAACTCATCCCCAAACAGTCCCTTTCTAACCGCACTATTCGCTCCATCCGCGCCCACCACGATACATCCCTCCCCACCAAACCTCTTCCTCTCCTTGACTTCACCATCCTCCCCCGTAACCTCAACCTCAACCCAAGCCCCCTTTTCCTCTCCCTTCCCTTCTTCCCCATCCTTTCCCCCATCCCTATCCCCTAAAGAAAGTCCCGTATGCCCAACCCCCACAACCCTACACCCCCAAACCACCTCCACCCCCCGTTCCACACACTCCTCAAGCATCACCTCCAACAAATCTTGCAAGACAAGACAATGCGTCCTCATATCTTCTCCTTTTTCTCCTTTTCCTTCTCCTTTTCCTTTTCCTTTTCCTTTTCCTTTTCCTTTTTTAGCAGTTCCTCCACCCAACCCCCACCCCCCCCTCCGGAACTCCCTCCAGCCCATCTAGCGAAACACCCCTCAACCCACTGGACTCAAACCCGCCCACTTCTTCAAAAGTCCTTGGCCTCCTCCACGTCATGGTCGACAGGACAAATCCGCCATCACGGCGGATCTTGTCAATGATGCCTGCGCGAATGAGGTCGGGAATGCATGCTGTGCCGTAGTGGGCGGCGCGCGGGCGGGAGTCGAGTTGGTGGGCGGCTTCGAGGATGGTTACGGGGATACCGCCGCCGCCGCCGCCGCCGCCGCCGCCGCCGGGTGATCCGAAGGGGGAGGAAAGGGAACGCCGCCCATGGCGGGAGAGGAGCAGGGCAAGGAGAAGGCCGGAGGGGCCGGCGCCTATGATGTAGATCTGTGTTGGGAGTTAGGTAAGATAGGTACCTAGGTAGGTATGTAAAGGGGGTGGGCGGGAGTGGTAGACTTGCTCTTTTGAAGGGACGGGGTTGTTGGTTGTCTGTCATGGTGGTTCGGTGGTTGCTTGCTTTGTGTGAAAGAATAGTAGATTTATCTCGGGATTCTGGAGAGACAAAGAAGTTCAGGTACCCGACTATTAGGGAATACAATCGTTGTTATATCATCCCTCCCACCGACATTTGTAGACAATCTTTCCCCGCACCCGCGGGTCCCGGAAGCCACGAGATCGGAGGGGCGGCATCACATCTTGGACCACTTACAGCCCTGACTATTTTGGCTTTGCGGGGAAGTCTGGGGCTGCTCAAGTCTACTATAGGTCAATCGTTGTTGATCGGTTTGCTAGCTTCGGTGGCTTCATCTGTTTGCCGTGTTTGCCTCGGATTTCTTACGTCGCATGGTGATCATAATTGCAATAACTCGGCATGCCGAAGTTTGGGGTTCGGGGGTTTCTTTGTGATGCTGCAGCTGCAATAAGCGGACGGGATGATTATGTGGCAACGGTACGATATCTCGACGTTAAACCGGGAGATGAGTGCGATACATATACAAATTTGGACCTCCCTAAAGCCATCCACCCGAACGATCATCCCGCATATAGACCTGCGAGGGGCTATTGGGGGGCCTGACTACTGATATTGGTGACGGAAGCGAAAAGGTAACCCGATTTCAGGTCTTGTGTTCACCAACGATAGCCTCCAAAGGTTAAAGTGCCGCCCCTCCCCCATTGTCATCATCGTCATCATCATCCTCGTCTTCATCCTGTACCATACCCGTTTGAGTACGCACATCAACCTCGTCGACCTTGTCATGCAGATGAAGGCCTCGAAGATCTTCAACATTACCCTCCATAGCTTGCATGGAGTCCAAAGATGCATTGCTGTCCACATCATTCTCAATGCCCGGCGCCGGCTCCGCATCAGCTCGATGCACAATCACAGACGAATTGTCGTCCCAATCCGCCACCGTGCCTGCCCTCGTCCCGGCGTCTGTCCCCGCGTCTGTCTGATTCTGTGTCAGCCGATCATCGAGATGCATCGTGGCGGACCAAGTATTTGAGTCTTCGTGCTTATAGCTCAACGGGCTCTTCTTCTTGATGACATTAAACACTTCGGTCCTGACGCGCTGTAGAATCCTGTCCAACATGATCTGCCTCCTTTTGACTGCTTCGGGGCCGTGGAAGTCGTAGACGTCTGGCAATCGCCACTTTGGATACAAGTTTCCATGGGAAGCTCGAACCTCGACGCCCGATCGCGATTCATCAAAGTAGTATTTGCATAACTTGCAGGTGGGCTTGCTTGAGCCGATATAAGGCCACGAGTTGAAGAACATGGTGGGACTGATTTCGCCTTTGCCGCGATCAGTAAGGAGCCAATGGTGCAGGAGCACTTCGGAATGGACGGCCAGTTTCTTGTTTGTTTCGTAGGCGTCTACTAGTCTGGTGTCGAGATTGTGCATTTGCAAGTCTTGCACAAAGCGCTTGAAGATGGTCATCAGTTTCTCGTTGGAGGTCATGCGGCCAACGATGCTCTCGGCTTGAAGGGATTTTTTGCGTCGGGGCGTGTCCTGGAGGTCGGCGCTCGGAATGGCGACAATACGGGTCTTGCCTTGGAAGAGATGTGGCCATTCGTCGCGGGCTTTGAAGAAGGAGTGCACCGAGGCGCGGTAGGCCCGGATGCGCTGGGCGACGTGCACTAGATCAGACCAGCATTCCATACTGGCGTGGCCAGTCATGGCGGTGCGGCCGGCAGCGGCGCGGGCAATTAGGATGGCATTGAGGCGTGTGGAAGCGAAGATGCTCTTGAGTTGTCGGGTGATGGTGTTGCATTTCTGGTCGTCTGGGCGTGTTAGTGACGGACGGCGAGGCCATGACGGGATCATGGTGTTGGTGACTTACACTCTGCTTCCGACGTCATTTCCGTGACGGTATAGTCTTCTGACTCGAGCAAGTCCTGTAGCCCTCTGGCTACCTCGCGATCCTCCTCCTTCTCGTCCACCTCACACTGCCGTAAACAGTCTTCTGCCTTCTCCCTCAGCGACTTGAGATAAAACTTGACCCTCGGTCGATTGAAGCGGAGGACAGTCTGCCACAGCTCCCTCTCGGCCGCCTCTCGGCCCTCCCTATCACTCTTTGGCGGAGCACTCGCTACCTTTTCCAGAACAGTACGCAGAAACTCGGCCGTGTGCTCCAGATGGCGAGGGGTAGCTTGGTTGACACCAAAGACATATCGGACCTCTTGCACAGCTGCCAAGACATTGCTAGTGTCAAGGACCATGATGGATGTCACCGTATTGCCGCCCTTTTCTCGATCACAGACATGAGCAAGCCTGTAGACGAAGGCCTGGAAGAGCTGTTTGGGATCCTCGTCGTCAACGCGCATGGCCGGGGAGGGGCCAGATGATGGTTCGCCAATGGGCCCCTTGAGGGCTTCGAGGAGCATGATAGGCTCGTAGAAACGGTGGAGGATTTTGGGAGCCATCTTGATTGGAGTGCCATGTTGGGTGTCTGAGGACTCCATGGTTTCAGTGGTGGCGTGGGAAATGTGTATACCTCTACTCTCTTGACAACATCAAGGCTCCCGTTTGCTGGAGTGGAAAAGTCGAGTTGACGCCGGCGGATTTGGTGAGTGGTCGTTGGCAGAGGCAGCGCAATAACGGGCAGCGATCATCTGAGACATTTTCTTCTTTTCTTCCAGTTCCCGACCTCCCTCTTGCCGTGTTTGATGTTTGGACATGCATCAACACATGTCGTGGAAATAAGGCGTCAAATAAAACAAAAGAAAAAAAAGGCGGGCAGAATTGAAGATTGGGTGACATGTCGGGTCCTCCCACTTCGTTCTTCCCCACCAAGCAACGATGCCCCCGCTCCTTGTGATCAACCAATCATGTCGGTTGAATCAATCCAACAAGAGACGGGCAGGAATATCCACAGCCAGCACGACACAAAGCAACGCAGACGCGGCCATGACTGCAGAATGAGGTCTCGGCGCCTGCCGCCGATTACGCTACTTGCAAACATTCTGCTCGATATAACCAATCTCTAGCCGACCTCATCTACCCACCATCCTGCGTGAGGCCCGACATGAGCAGCCAATCACAATCAGGCCGGTTACCAAAGCAGGATGGCGTGTTGTCCACTCTTTGGACAAGGCATTTTTCAACCATGTTTTCTTCAGACTCTCGACGAGATATCGTCTGTTTGTTGCTGGATATTCGACACTCCAAGTGGTCACATCCAACGGGTCACTGCCATTGATGGACGGGAGAGGCCTACAGCCCACTCAGCTCTTCACTTTTTCCCTCACTCTTCCTTGTCAAAGTGGAACACAAGCGTCCTTTTAAAGGGGCCTCACGCCTTAGTAGGCCTCGTTTGATCCATCCCTTCCCCTCTTCTCTTTCATGACTACCCATGCTCACATCATCTCTCTTGTCATCACCGATACGACCATCACACATTGTCTTGACAGCAACCAGCTCGCATCGCAGTGTCCGCATTGCCATGGGCGACCGCGTTCCAGCTCCCCCGGCTGTGGTGGATGAATGTATCGACCCCAGCCTGTTGACACTGCACATGGACGTTAAATGTACATACATCCCCTCACCCTACCCTCGACGGTGTCATGCAAGACCTAACAAGTCGCAGCGGTATCCACGCCAGACCACGTGGACTTTGATGGCTGTGGCACTGTCCAAGATGGCCGCTCGCCTCCTTCTCCCTCCATCGTCAATTCGCCGTCCACTTCGTCGGGCTTGTCGTCGTACGCCGGAAGCGTTGCCGGAAGCCCCAATGACGTCGGCTTCTCCCCTGTGGGAATGGAGCAAGACTCGCCGGCTGTCGCACAAGACCCCACCGGCTTGAATGCTGCACCTGCTGACACCATGCACGACATTACAGCCGCGCAGCATGCGGTCCTCCAAGAGACGCTTGGAACCTGGAATATGGCCGTGTCAGCCAATGAGCTTGCTGGAACCTACAACCTGGCGCAACTCAATGTGGACGACATGTATAACTTTTACATCACCCTGCACTCTATCCCAAACCCCCCAGCCATCATGATGCAAAGCAATGGCAATCCTAGCTACGAGACTTAGTCTACGAGCGATTCTATCCAGAACTCACACAAGCTGGACCGGCCGCATATCCACGCCCGTGGTTTGGCTGTAAAGCAACGCTGTGGGGGATTCCCAATGCAACAGCATCATGATCAATCGGGATACATGTATGGTGGAGAGGAACTTTGTACAGTTGGAGACGAACAACACAACGCGCCAAACCCGTCATTCATTCAGCAGCAGCAGGGGCAGTCGTTCTTTCAATATCCGCCAATCATTCCACAGGAACCGCTCATTCAGCCTTGTTACAACCCGCAACTTAGCAACGCCACACTGACTACAGCCATCCCACCCGAGACGCCGATAGCCTTTACAACACCTATGAACGGTGTCTGGCCATCCGGTGCTCAATTCCCACTATCAGCCACTTGCCTCCAATCCCAGGACTGGCACTCACCTATCCCTTCTCACATTCACTTTTCCCAATCACACCCATCCCACATCCCAGCACCATTTCCATCCCCAACCTCGCCAATCAACCACACCACCTCATCAGCTCCCTCTCCCTCACCATCCACATCCTCCACGTTCTCTTCCAGCTCCGCTTCCAGCTCCTCCTCCAGCAGCCGAAAATCTCCTGAGAAGAAACCCTGCAAAGCCCCCGTCGACGACCGCTACGGTAAATGCACCTACAAAGGCCACTCCAAAGAACTCAAAAAACACTACCGCACCACTCACAAAAAGTATGCCGAGGAAATCGGCATCTTGCTGGACCCGTTCGAGTGTGACGATTGTAAGACGTCGTTTGTGCGAAAGGATTTCTTGGCGCGACATCAGCGTGTTCAGAGGGGAAAGACGATGTCGGCGTGTGAGCGGGCGATGAAGAATAAGAAGGGGAAGGGGAGGGTACAAGTACGTGGAAGTCAAAGTAAAAGTGAGATGGGGATTTGATATGGTAGAAAGGAAAGGGTGGACTAGATGATACCTACATAGGTACATACCTACCTACCTCAGGTAAAGGAGGGAATGGGATGAGGATAGCGGAGGGGGTATAGGTGGGTGAGCCGGCCTGGAAAGGCTGGAGGGAGGAATGAGGTGGAAAGGAAGAAAAGCGGGTGGACTTTGCTGGAATATGCAGTCTACCGGCCTTCACACCGGGTTTCCTCAGGTGGTGGCTTGTGGGTCTATGTGTGTATGGAGGTTATGGTGTGGTTCTTGTTCTAACTCCAAAGCGGTTCTTTGTCGGTCCATGGTTTTTCTTGTTTTCGGTTGCTTCTTTGATATCAAAGGTTCCAGATTGTCTCATGGTCACGGTCGGCTTATGATCCTTGTTTCATCTCAAACTTTCCTACCTCTACATGCCTCGGTCTTCATGGTTGTCTTGTTTTTTTCTTCTCCTAGGTTAGGTACCTAACAACAAACTGTTCTTCACACGATAATATAAACGCTGGGATCGGGTAGGTGAAGCAGGACGAAGCTAACTTGGGCTTGGTCCTGCTTTCTTACCTACTTGATTCACAGCGTCTATACTATCGTGGGTTGAGCGGGTTGTTGCATGGATGTTATTACGAAGTAACGACCATTTCTCAAATCTCAATCTTTTCCCGTATTTTTTTACACATTCTCCCAAGCCTCTTTATATAACCGGCTGCGATGCTCTATCGAATTCTTGAACAAGAAATGTGATTCGGGCTTCCATCACCTTCGGGAACCCGGTCCCGATTCACTCCTAGCTGAGTCCACTCCGGATCTACTATCAAAGTCCGTCGCCCCTTCCGTCTCCGTTTCTGCTCCCGGTCGGTCGTCGACACAGGCCACCGAACATGTCTTGGCACGGCGGGATCCAGCCCTCTTCTTTCAACTCCCTCGGCTTCCCGTTTAGGCGCCAAGCAGTCGAGTTTCCGGACAACCAAGCTACATTCCGAACCCCCTGACATCGCTCAGTTAAGTTGGCAACTTCAGCTCCAGTCCCTTGTTCAAGTCCCGTTTTGCACGTTTACCGTCGGCATCACCACGTGCAGCCACCGGATCACCGGCCATCGCACCACCGCATCACTACACGCCATTCAAGAATTGAGATCGAGATTCACGAACTGGTAGTCTAGTACCAGCGCACTTCCCACATAACCGAACCAGTCAGTCCGCTTGCCGCTCACTTCCCCAGCCGGAGTCCGGAGTCCGGAGTCCGGACAATTTGCTACCTACGTACCTACCTTCCCTTACCAAGTCTTGTTAGTTCTTGTCAGCCGTCTTGTCCTCATCATCATCCAACGGGATGGACGGCATGAATGACTCGAACATAGCTAACTCGAGTCAAGCAGCATGACCAGAACGCATCGTCTAGTACATGTACTTGATCGTCACTCACATGTCCGTGGTGCTCGCGGTAGGTTAGTTGCCCGTGCAGCTGAGGAGCCGATCCAGGCTGCGAGGTATACCTAGTAAGTGGGAAGTGCTTTAGTTCATGTCCTGGCGCCAGAAATTCGCATGTTATTGGTTGGTACTTTCTGATAGAAAAAAAAAAAAAAAAAAAAAAAAAAAAAAAAAAAAAAAAAAAAGAGGGGGGGCGGTTGGAAAACCGACCTGACAGCAATCGACCGACGGAATTTACCCTACGTGCCCCCGGGCCTGCGCGCTCCACAACACGCACGCCAAACAGTTACTATTTCCATCCATTCGGGAGATGGAACTACGATCGTCCGTCCGTATGCATTCTTGGAGCTTTATCTTTTGTGAATGTCTATCGTGAAGCTAGGTATGAGGGCTGTCGTCTCTTTTTTATCGTCCCTTTTCTTGTTTCATTCCACCTTTTTTGTTTTTGATTTTTCGAGGATTTCAGGGGCATATATATTAAGCTTCTTAGTCGGATTGCCAAAGACTAAAAGAGACCAAACTGGTGATGCCCGAACTTGAACTTTCAAGCATTATAGTCCACGTGGAATGGTCGATCTTTACTCACTTCTTAGGGCCCAAGTCTACGACTAGCCAATTTGAAACTTCCTAAGGAAGGTACTAAGTAGAGAAGAGAAGAGAAAGGGCAGACTACAGTAACGCTAACGCTAAAACCAGCCGCAAACACAGGGTCCCGATCATTTGATCAAAGTGCAAAGCACTGTCTATTCAAGATCACTTCATGATCGGTTCGTCATCCGGACGTTCGGGTGTCGCATGGACTTTTGGGCTTCGGGGATCTGCAGTGTTTTCAATCTTTATGGGGGATTTATGTCTTGTTCCAATTCTGGGAGATGCATAGACGTCTGGTATGCACCCCTTTGGAGTTTAAGCTTCATCTTCTTTCCTGGTCCTTGGGTCGTTTGGTTCCTCTTGGCCCTTTGGGTCCTTTGGGGGTTTAAGAACAAGCATGAAAGCCAGCTAGGTACCAGTCGGAAATGCCGCCAGTAGGACTGATTGCCTTTCGTTCACAGACGAGAAAGGGAACGCCGTCCGACTCACCGACGTTGTGCTCGCTGCTACCGGCCAGTGCGGTTAGGGGAACCGAATGAAATGATTGTATGTAACCGGTTAATCTGATTGTGCTGTTGATGGATAGAGATAGCCGACTGCCCGCCGCGGTCAAGCGTCATGTGGTGTAACTTTACCGTCAAAGCACCAGTTACTGTTTGACTTGCAGTGGTCGAGATGCCCAAGTTACATTGCAATTGCATGCGGCTCGGTGGTACTGATATCCAGCATTCAGCATCCAGTTTATTAGTGTATATCCAGTGACCCAGGTCTTGAGCATTTGATAGTTGTAAAGAAATCCAGGATCTTGACAGCAGAGGAGAACTAGATTTACCCGGATCGCAATCCCATTGGTGGGTTTTTTTCTTCAAACAGCTACCGTATCAAGTGAAGCCCGACTTCGAAGTCGCATTCTGGTGAGCCGGTGAACCGGTGATGTGGTTAGTGGTAGGTTCGGCCCCATTCGGGGTTATCTAGTCAAGTGTTCCTTTAATTCAGGGGCCGAGAGTCTGGAATGTCTGCAAGTTGGAAACAGGAGAGGCCGGCGGTAGTCGGATGAGTGTGTGGGAGGCACTTGTCCAAACTTCAACGAACCTCCTAACCTCGCAACGTCAAACGGTGGATGTGCCCGAAGCAAGGGGAATTTTATGACGCAGGGAAAGTGTTACAAAACTCAACCGGGGGCCACGAACCCAAATGATTGACGGCCGCGGGGAAAGAAAAAGAAAAGAAGCCGAAGAAGAAAACCGCGACATGCGCGCCGAAACGACATTGTACGTACAGACATATCTTGGTCGCTACACGGTCGCGACACGAAACATTGATATAACGGATGGAGTTCATGGTGGATTATTCCCTCTCACTTTTTTGAGGGGGTTTTGGGTTCCGTCATTCAATCGATAGTTTCGTTTCGATGGTTTCCACGGTTAAACACGGGCGGTTAGGGTCGTCGGGAAGGAGTGGATTTTGGGAATCCGTACCTGCATTGGATCCCCATCCGCCCGCCGTTCGCCAATAAATCCACATTTGCAGTCCAGGTGCGACTCAAAATTATTAGGCCGTTGAAGGTCGCACGTACGTCGGCTTTCTCTCGGTACTTGGTCGTGAGATGTGAGACGCGGCATCACCGCGACGCCGGAACTCGCATGCAACGAATGTCAAGAACTTTCTTTTTACTCAGCCAGTGACATCCCCAAACTGGGCACTGGGACGGCGGCAGTAAGAGCGGCTGTGGCTGAGGTAGTGAACGCCACACCCGCCCGCCTGAGCCACCCCATTGCACCACCTACAGCGAGGCGGCAGACAGGCATCCGGCCCGCGGTATGGTATTTCCGGCGCAACCAACTGAATGATAAGCAGACACCAGACGAATCCAGCCATAATCCGACATCCATCGATGGGTGCTGCTGGCCAACCAGCTGACCGACAGACCATCTTTCATTCCCGACCTTAGTTGCCGTGCCGTCTTGTCTGTCGTTTCTTTTTGTCGGACGTTGTGCGATACCCTGGAATGATGCCCTGAATTCATCGTTAAGCGATGCGACGCTATGTCATCGTGTCTCACTTGGAGCGCTGCTCATCATTCCTTTACATAGTGTAGCCTAACTTGCAGTTGCTAACTAAATTTTGGCAGAAACAGACTACCTCTACATACATACCTAGGGAAGAGGTGTAGGTAGGTATCCTCGGTTGTGTTCGGTTCACTATTGCCATATCCCACAAATAGCAATCGTAACCCCACAACTGATCACCCCCCACAACGGATTATATAACTTCATCACCAGGACCCAAATAACATTAAAAACTGGCCACTTTTGCAGCGATTTTAATGCTTGAAAATATCATGATCTTATTCTTAATACTCTTAAATAGCATAGAATACTAACTCAACTACTCTCCCTAACTCTTACAATAACCTCATTACCGTTATTACCATAGCAACCCTTCTACATTTAGGGGCTTACTCTAAGGCTTCACGAACTTAAATAATCTCCTTAATACGTACAAATCTACTATTACCCCCCTCTTTAACCTTCCTTTTACCTTTAAGTTTTATTAAATCTAATTAAATCTATAAATAATAAATTTAGTAGTTTTTTGTAGTAAATTTAACGTTTTTTATATTAAAGGCTTTAACCGATTTATTAAATACCCTTCTAATATTACGAACAAAATTGGATATTTCATTATTAATACCTTTATAAATATCCCTAAACTTTTAAAGGATTTAAAAAATAATATTCCGGTTGAAAAAGTCTAATATAAGTAGCGTTATAGTCCGGACTAATTTATTAAGGACGGCGGGTAGGGCATTATCGTTAAGGATAGCCTCGGGGTCGTTAAATATAATAGATCTATTTATTGGCTATATCCCAATCTTTTTAAATTTTAATTTAAAGTTTCTAGAGCTTACACTTAATTGTAATACTTCCTAATAATACTAAAAGAACTATTATTTATTTACTAATATAAATATTAGGAAGAAGGTA